TTTTTTTTTTTTTTTTTTTTTTTTTTTTTAATATGATATCAACCAAAGATGGGGGGTGTAAACATTTTGACATAACGTTTGCAACGCCCAGAGGGCAGCTTCAGCGAAACCACAAAACATATTTATGTTCTTGGTCAGCATAAAATTTTATTCGTCTGTCCGTCTGTCCGTCTTTGTAATGTCTACTGCAAACATTCTCCCGTTCGCAAAAATTAAGATATCGTCTACAAATTTGCAAAAGTATTTGAAAATTACCCAAACCGGTTAAAGGACATGTCTACAACATCCACATACCTATGCAACAAAGACGGTGAACTGTACAGTGCAATCCATACGTCACGTAAATTTTAAATTTTCGCTTTTATTCCGAAAATACATAAAATCATCCGTATCCATCCAATATAATAAAAAATGAATATTTCACGGCGATGGGTATAAGAGACGCTTGTCTTCTTTTTTTTTTTTTTTTTTTTTTTTTTCTTGTTAAATATTTGCAAACACTTTTGTTAATTGTATTAGGTCCTATAGCGTTTTGGAACTTATATCAATACTTGTCAATTAAGATAATGAGTTTTTCTTTTTTCAGCCATTGCGTAACAATAATTTTCAGAAGACTACAACTGCCCACGAAGTTTTTGATAAATAACAAGCAAGCTTTCCTATTAGTTTAAGATAAGATGACTTAGTGAAGCGAATATAATAAATTCGAGACTACTTATAAGTTGTTTTTAATGAAAATGTATTGTAATGTTTGAGAATGAGTTTCGAGACTCGTCTCAAGTTTTATTTATGAGAATATATGCTTTGACTTTTAACTTTGTACTGTTACGCACCACATTTCAAAAAAACCCGTAATAGATGAGCAAACTGTCCAATTGGCCATTTCGTCTTAGACTCTTCGGTATCCTTCAAGAATTCAGGGAATAAGGAAAAAAGTATTTTATTATATTTATATTCGTCGTCTTCATCCAAAGGACGGCTAAAAGAAAAGGGAGAAGAAATTTAATTTGCCATACTATATAATATAGGAGGGATCTGGCTATTTTTTGTATAATATACGTGTAAATTGTTTCCGTATGTCGAGCGAAATCCGCGAGATCAAAGGTGTCCTCACTTTATGTTGAACTGTAGATTTCTGCAGTTCGATCGACTAGGCTGCGAGTTAATCTGAAAAAATAGCTGAAAGCTGAAGCTACAGAAATGGCAAAGCTGGCCTGAGATGAAAATGCAGTAAGCTACGAAACACTTCATATGTCGAATGACTATTCCATCTGCAAATCGCCAAATTTCTACTGCGAGGATATCGATTGGCTACCCGATAAATGACAAAAGCCTATTGATAATGACAATCAATTTTTCGGTTTGTAAGCCTTGTAGCAATTATATTTTAAATTAAGTTAAAGTTTATGGAGAAACGGAAGTAAATTATTTGTACACCTCCGCTAAAACTAGGATTATTTTAGAGATGTTTTTTGAAGATATAAAAAAAACCTATAAGACTTGATTAGATTTGCTAAGAAGTGTGAAACCAAAAATTATTGTAAACTGTAAACTTTAAATGATATCGATTGGCAATTGCGAACTAGAGTCCAACTTCCGTTTGCACAGTGTGCTTATGCTCACGTAGGCTAGTACCGTATTACGCAGTTTATGGTAAGTTTGTAAAATGTATGTCTGTACTAAGCGGTTAGCACACGCTTTACTTTAAGTTGATCCTCTTCACTCCAACATCCGTTATACTGCAGATTATGCTAAGTTCGTAGAATGTCCACTTGGACTTAGCTATTAGGATAGGCTTAACTTTTAGTTGAGTGTCTTCACACCAACATCTGGCTGTACTCAACTACCAATGTACCTGTGTCTTAAGCGGCTACGTTTACTCTTTCTATCGCTTTACTTCAGCCTTCAAATTTAATTGAGACATTCACGATTGCACATCTTATTGTTGTAGTTGGTAAGATAAAGTAAAGTGAAGTAAAGTAAAGTAAAGTAAAGTAAAGTAAAGTAAAGATTTTATTAACGATATAATTTCTGAAATATTTTTTGGTTTATTAATCCAGTTTTCATTAATTATATTTTAGAGCTAATCTAATATAATTTTTTATATCAATTGTGTATAACACAAGAAAAAAATTCGTGGCCTTTTTTTTTTC